TCATTTAATTTCGGATTTGAGGTGAGAAATTGGGGAAAATTTTGGAAAAGTTCTTAGACCTAAGTTTCGAGTTTTGATTGGGGATTTGACATCGGATTTGGATAATTTTGGTATGTATGAACTCGTGAGAGTGTGAGGATTCTGAATTTGTAAATTTTACCCGATTTCGAGACGTGGGCCTGGGGGCGTTTTGGTCATTTTTCCTAATTTCTTAGCTTAGAATTTAATTAGTGGAATCAGTTACTTGAAGTTATGTTTACATTATGCAATAAAATTGAATAGATTCGGGCAATTTAGAGTCGAGTACTCGTGGGAAGAGCGTGGTTTCAGGTTTATTTTGAGCCGGTTCGAGGTAAGTGGCTTGCCTAACCTTGTGTGGGGGAAACTCCCTTTAGGATTTGATATTGTTGATATTTGAAATGCCTTGTACGTGAGGTGACAAGTGCGTACTTGTGCTAATTGTTGAAAATCATGTTTTCATTAAGTAACTCTAATTGTGTTTCTTTTCCTACTTACACTATTTGCAATTTAAGACTGTTGTTAGCTTAGGGAAGCATGTGTAATCACCTTAATTGCTTTACTTGCTCAAATTGCCATATTTGGATTATGTGTGGCATGCTAGGTTAGAAATACCTATTTTTACCTTGGTATGAAATTTGAACTGAATTGAGTATTCTTCGTGTTGCTGCTGTGTGTTTACTTTGGGACTACGGGACGGTATCCGGGGAGATCCCCCTGCTTGTTTACTTTGGGACTACGGATTTGTATTCCAGGAGATCCTCTACACCTACACTGATTTGGACTGTAGTGCGGGATACCGAGAGATCTCCAGCACGTATATCGAGGATACTAAGAGATCCTTGGGATACCGAGAGATCCCCAGCATGTATATTAAGGATACTAAGAGATCCTTGGGATACCGAGAGATCCCCAGCATATATATATTGAGGATACTAAGAGATCCTCGAGATACTGAAAGGTCCCCAGTATACATATTGAGGATACTAAGAGATCCTCGGGATACTGAGAGATCCCCGGTTGTTATCTCTGTGTTGAGCGGCATTCCTTTTGTAATTATTTTATCTCTGTTATAGTTATTGTTGTTATTATTATCCTGTGATACTTCTTACTGTTAGCATTTAATTATATTGTCATATTCTATACTGTTTTACCTCGTTTTTCAGCTATAATCAGTAGGGCCCTGATCTTCCTCGTTACTACCCGACCGAGGTTAGGCTTGGCACTTACTGAGTACCGTTGTGGTGTACTCATGCCTTTCCTGCGCATGTTTTTCATGTGCAGATCCAGGTACTTCGACTCAGCCCTACTATCCTTGAGGCGGGGTGATCCATCAGAAACTTCGAGGTATGTCTGCCGTGTCCGCAAATCGAGGAGTCCCTTTTCATTCTCTCTCATATAGCATTAGCCCTTCTGTATTTCTCTTTGTTTAGACATTCTGGAGTTAGAACACTATAGTTATTCCACAGCTTGTGATTTCATAAGATTCCGAGTTTTGGGAAATGTAGTTTCAGTTTGAGAGTTGTATTGTATATGCCGAGCAACATCTTTAAACCTCCACTATGTTTATTCCACAAGTTTTTATTTGTTTTATTCTGTTGTTTATTTTTCCGCAATTTGCCGTCACGATAGTTCACGAAGAGCGAACTGGGGTCGTGACACGTGATGCAAAGCTAAAAACATAAAATAGTGGAGTTATGGTAAAGGCTACCACTCAGAGCTATGCAAGCGCAAAAAAAAGAAATCCCATATTAGCAGAAGTCACCTTTTATGGAATTCTCACGGACATAATTGAGTTGTATTATACCGCAAAACCTCAAGTTTATACTATTTAGATGCGAATGGGTGGACAACAACAAGGGGCTTATTGTGAAATATGATTATGGATTTACTCTTGTTAATTTTTCTCAGCTACTCTACAAAAAGCAGCACCCGTCAAATGAACCTTTCATCTTTGCTTCTCAAGCTCAACAGGTGTTTTATGTCCATCATCCAATGGAAAAAGAATGGCAGATTGTAGTTGAAATTAAACCAAGACGTTTTTATAATTTAGGTGAAAACAAACCAGTAAATGAGCAAATGGAAGAGCATATGAAATTATTTCCCGAACAGCAGCTGGATGATACTATATTTGAAAATAAAGAGGATATTAAATGGGTAAGAGAAGGTGTGCCAGGAATAAAAATTGACATATCTTAGTTACTTTTATTTTTTTTTGTCACTATTTTAGTAAGGATTGTTATTAAACATAGATCATCGAGTTGGGGATTTCTTATTATGCTTTTTAGTTGTTTAAATCTCATATGCATATGTGTCTTTTTATTTTCCTTGCTAGTTTGATATTATTTTATTCGTCAGGATAGAAGAAAATATTTTTCAATTTTGCAGGAACTATAGTTTTTGAGCAACTTTGTTGTGATGGCAAGAAAAAGACAGAGAAATTCCAGTCAAGAAATGCTTCTGCCTGATTTTCCAGAGCAACAAGAAGAACAAATGGGAGGTGCGGCGATTCCTCAACCACCTCAAAACTGGCCACAAAATGAAGGACAAGCTATCCGATCTGGTAAATCAAGAAATGATTCACATGAAATAGAAAATTCCCTAGGTACTTAATCTGTATAATATCTTATCTTTATTGAATAGTTACACTTGGTGTATTTGTACACTTATTCCCAAGCAACCAAGTAGACCTAAATGTAAAATTTCAACTCAAGCAAATCCACCAAGAATACTTGTACCTTGACCGCTCATCTCTATCATTGTTCCTAAAATAATATACTTATAAGTCTCCCACAGAAGCAGAGACACCACTTAAACATACAAATAGTATCATGAATGTGGAGACACCTATATTCTGTTCTTATGAAGGTAGCACCTGCTTTGCTATTAGAAGCTATCTTCTGCATTACATTGGCCAATTACACTTAGCTCTTCATATACAAATTGAAAACATGAGACAGATTGTGAGCACACCAACATTATTGCTAAGATATGTTTAATGGATCTAGCTGAGGCATCTAATAGTCTAGCAGATACGTTATTCATGAAAGAATTCATATCACTATACCTACCTGTATCGCTGTAGTTTTTTTCCCCCAAAAATATATATGCTTCATTTATGGCAGTTTTTCCTCTATCACTCTATTATTCTAATCCCTTGGTATTAATGGAGTGTTTATATGTGAATTTTTAAAAGAAGAAAAAGAAGAATTAATTGAGTTTTACTAGTTATGGATGACTCTCTTTTTTATATTTCGTTATTGCAGACTCTAGTGCTAATGAAGAGCAATCTAAGCGACCTAGGGGTCCTACTATGATGCACTCAAGATGGGAAAAAGATGGTGGCATTTTACATGTTGAGTTGAATAATCTTAGTCAAGCTATTGGACCTGATGCAGCTAGATTGAGTTCAAAATTTGGAGTCATAGCACGAAATGGCATTTTAGCTCCTTTAAATCATTAAGATTGGAGGCTTGTGCCTAAACTGTACAAGAATAGGATATGGGCTCATATTAAGGTGCTTAGAAAATTAAAGAAAAAGGTTATATAATAAGATGCTTACTGATTTTATGCTTCTATACATGTGTTATATGTTGATGCTTGCAGGAAAATACTGATGCAACTGAGGATATGAGACGTATGTTGATGATATCAGTTGGGTCTAAATGGAAAGAATGGAAACATGAAGCAAAAATGATTGGTTATGAGCCATACAACAACGATATCGAGCGCTTAGCTAAATGTCCAGACATGGTAGAAGAAGACCAGTGGCGTGCATTAGTTCATTATTGGAGCTCTAATGAAGCAAAGGTATTCTCCGATCATCAAGCATCTTCTTCTCTTTCCCTTGGTACATGCTATTAGCGCATTCCTTATGCGGATCATACTTTTTCCTTTAAATATTTTTATGCTTTTCCTCTGTAATTCTTCTTACCTTTTCTCTTTTTTCTTTTAAAAGTTTTATTCTTTGGTCTGATGCTTGGCCATGAATTAGCTCTAATATATAAAATTACGTGTAACTTTTCTAGGAAAAGAGCGAGAGAAACAAAGAAAGTCTAAGGAAGTTGAGTATGCCACACACATTAGGAAGAAAAAGTCATTCTCAAATTATAGATGATGTATGCCATATTTACTATAAGCCTTTTGCAATTTATATATCAATACTTATTTTCTTGAATATATTTGCTACAACTTTTTTACTATTTGAACAGATGACAAAGAAGAATGGTGTAAAATCAAGTCATATTGAGGTATTCAAAGAAACACATACGAGAAAAAATAAACAACCAGTAAATGAGATAGCTGATGAAACTATGGTAAATTTCCATTCTTTATGAATATGAATTACTTTCTTTCCAATATAAAATTTTATTAACTTTTCATTGTTTTACCTTTTCTTTCCAAAAGAAAGAAATGGATGAACTTGCAAAGGTGTATCCCCAGTTAAATGTCCCTGGAAGTGCTTCCAATGATGTGTATGCACAGGTTATGGGACCAGACACTCATGGAAATGTTCGAACTTTAGGCAAAGGAGCAGCTCCAAGTTTTGTTTATGGCTCTGCATATAAGCGATCCCAGGCTGAGCAAAGAGATTTTGATAGAAGGGTTAAGATAGAAGTTGAAAAAGCTACCTCCGCTATGAGAATTGCGATGGAAGAAAAATTGTCTAAAGCAAAAGAAGAAATAGAAGCGACGGAAAAAAGTTATTTGAAGCAAAAGAAGAAATAAAAGCGATGGGGAAAAAAATGTTAGAAGCATCAAAGGATATGAATGCAAAAATAGACGATAAAGTAAAGCTGGGTATAAATGCATATCTAGAATCTTTGGGTATTACTATTGGCTCAATTAAGAAATTATCTGGTGATGAGCAGGTAAAAAATATTGTGCTCTTTAGCAAAAATTTATTGTATTTAAGATAATCTTGTAATTTAGTTTTCTTTTAATTGTATTAATCTTCCTCTTTTGTGATAGGTTTCTGATAACTTAATGGGCGATCACCAACAATCACTATCACCTGTTTCACTTGTTCACACAAAGATGGTGAGTTCGTAAACTCATTTTAACTAAATCTTTTTCTGCATACATTCAAAGAGTATAGTTTTAACTATGTTAATTTTTACTTTAGTTACGTAAAGCTTCAAAATAGCATTTTAAAGTATAGAGGCTCTTTTACAGTAAAAAAAGATTATGAGTTTGTCCTCTCAAGGATGGAGTTCCATTTTTTAAACTTGTGTTTGACGATGATGGTGGCATTCATGTTGCAGCTGTAAATAAGTTAGCTTCTTTTTTTCTTTTTGTTAATTGATAAGATTCCCATCAAGCATGATTTTACCCTCCTACATAAGGTATTTAGCCTCTTGTAGAACCTGGAAGATTTTCCTGCTTTACCAGGATTTAAAGGTGCTCATCTGCATGCACAAAACTCTGTCTTAGCGGGTTGATCCAAGTGGTAGCATTCTGCACATGTTTGCTTTTACACTTTTAGTTGGGATCAGAAAAATAAAGGCAAGTTAGGGAAGTAAAAAGAGGACATGTAGGAGACATTCCCTGTTCTTTCTGTTATAAAAGAGGAGGTAAAGTAAAACTGGATGTTTTCATAACCTTCCATGTCAGTCTTTTATTTCCTTAATTCGATAGAATTAGAAGGGAGTCTTATTTACTTCCCCTTTGGTTGTACCAAACTACATGAAATGAAGGATGATTACATCTCCGTGGTAAGGAGATAATGGAGTAGCCTCTCCACTTAATCCTTATCTCTCCTCTCATGAATGTTAGTGTTGAATTGCAAGTTAACAGTTTCTACCATCACAGTAGAGGCTGTCAATTCACAAGCTTTGTCGGATAGCTCTTTTTCCCCCTAAGAAGGCAAGGGACAGGGCTGTTAAATGCTTTATGGCCTTTGTTTTTAGTTATTTCTGCCTAAAAAGAAAAGCCCTAGCAGTTGAGCCCATAAATAGGATCTCTTATCCTCATTAGAGATTCATTCTCGGTAGCCATAAACCATCAGCTGAGATCTGAAATTACAAAGAGCTTTAAAAACAAGGAAAAAATAGGACAAAAAAGGGGTTTCAGCACCTGTTTTCAATCCTGGTTTTAATTGTTTTGTATTTCTGGGTTTGAGGAGTAATTTAACTTAAAGAGTTATTGCTATTTTGCCGGTGATTTCTGGTAGCTGAACCCACCATTTCTTTACTTTCACACCTTTATTTGGTACATATTTGTTCTCTTCCATAACTAAGTATGTTTTATGTAACTGTCAATACATAATGATGAATGAAACTTGATATATCTATACCATGTGTAATTTAGTGAATCTAGCATGTTCACTCTTTGATTTATGTCTGTAAGTTTTAGTCTACTAATATCTTGTTTAGTCAGTAAGTAAAGAGTTGTGTTTTAAATCATTATTACTAATCTCCCCCCCCCCCCTCTTTCTTCTTCTTCTTCCTCTTCTTCCCTTTTCTTCCTTTCCATCTTATCTTGAGCCGAGGGTCTATCGTAAACAGCCTCTCTACCTCTCTAGGTAAGGGTAAGGTCTGCGTACACACTTTCCCAGAATCCACTTATGGGATTATACTAAGTATGTTGTTGTTGTTGTTGTTGTAGAAACTGGAATAAAGAGTAAGTTGAAGACTCTTGCCTAGATGAGGGAAATAAAGATCTATGGTTGAAACGCTATCATATTAGGAAATAAAATTTATTATATGACTTTGTTCTGTTTTTGTATATCTTCTATTCACAATTTTTTAAGTTGTAAATATTGTAAACTACCAGAGTAACCAATCTAATATTTCTTCTCAGGTTAACATAATCAAGAAGATTGGCGTTAGTGAAGTTGGCACAAAGAAAAAGAAGCGGGTAAGTGTGAAAAAATTACAAGGTTCTTGTTCCTCCTTTTCAAAGGGAGAAACCCTTCATGTTATAGTTTGCAAAACTTATATAACATTTATTAGTTTTCATCTCAGTATACAATTTATGGAAACAAATATTTCAGAATTCAACCCTCCCCTCTCCCACCCTGTTTCTGCCTCAGTCTCGAAGAAAAAAAAACTAAAAGAGTAGGGAATGATTTTCCTAAGTGTAAGATGAATTGAGAATAGCTAAACATTTTCTTTTCCTTTGGTAAAGGATGAAATTATGGTTTGTATTGAACACCATTTTTAGTACAGAATCGATGCTGAACTCTGATATGAAAGTGCATTATTGACTATTGATATAGCATTTGTTGCAAAAAATTCATTATTATCTTAGAGGCAAATAGATTCTCCAAAGTGAGCTATCTCATTTAGATTTTGTTCCAATCTTTCTTGAGCGGGTAGCTTTATGTGTGCTTACTTGTATTTAGCTTTTTAGGCCTGATCGTGTTTTTATTTATTTAAATCTTGCAGAACCTCCTTCGGGTGGAGTTATATTTTCTCCCTTCCTCTCACATCCCCCCCCCCCCCCACAACCAAAAAAATATCATCAACTGCATTATGATATTGCAATATTTCAGTTGTTGTTCGGTTTGGGCGGTAGCGTTCACTTTCTTGGATTTTTTGCTTTATGTTGTCTGTTTCTTTCTCTCTTCAGTTGCTAGTATTACATTCATTATCAATTTGTTTCTCTTTTAGAACACGAATCTGTTATTATTTTTGGTATTCCAATTGTTTTAGAGGAGGAAAGAATTCACTTTATTATAAAGGTATAATTCTTTTTTTTTTCTTGTAACTTCTTGTGCAGCATTCTTGAAGGAAGTGATGTCAATTACTTGCAGTGAAAAGCTTGACTTGTGGAGAGTTGGTTTTATAAGATTTAGTCTAGAAGTTGAGGAAAATTAATTCGAATTAGGAGCGATCTTAAATTACTTACACATTAAAAACTATCTTTTATGATTTAGTTAGATTTAGGTTTTACGTGAGAACAAATCATTTGATTTGACATTATCTATCGTGTGCTAAGTACGTTTTATATTGCTATTTTGTTCTTTGGTTACTGTGCTAAAAGATATTTGCTTTACATTTATTTCATGTTTGTTATAAAAGTTGACATTTGTGAATGTAAATGTGTTCATGATGAAACTAAATAGAACATTATTATTTACATTCTAAAAAATATGATAGCGACATTAATTTAAATGTCAAACATTTAATGCGACATTTTGCTATGTTGTAAAAGATATGTCACTAATTTTTTTTAATGACATTCACATAAAGTGGAAACGATATTTTGTATATGTTGTGAATTTTCTTAGTGACATTTACCAAAATATCAGATATTTCAATATGACATTTTGTGAAGATCATACATAAATGTCGTATTTTTTTGTAACATTAATCTAATTGTCGAAAATTTTAAGTGACATTTTCTATATGTCATAAACCAAATGTCGTAACATTCTTACCGATATTTACCTAAATATCGTAAATTAAATGTCATAAATTTCTTATTGATATTTACCTAAATGTTGCAAAGTAAGTGTCGCAAATTTCTTATCGATATTTACCTCAATGTCGTAAAATAAGTGTCATAATTTCTTATTGACATTTACCTAAATGTCGTAAAGTAAGTGTCATAATTTCTTATCGATATCTACCTAAATGTCAGAAAATTAACGACATTTGATGCAAATGTAAATTAAATGTCAGTAAATAAATTTGTGATATTTAAACAGCATAAAATGACATTTATTAAATGTCGTCATATCTCCACTTTCTTGTAGTGCTTATGAGGGCCTATAAAGAAGGACTTAAGTCCGAGCAGGATCAACTGTTGACCGAGAGGGACCAAGTTGCAGCGTGCCTCTTGGTATTAGAAGCGAAGGCCTCCGAAGCGAGTGATCTTGAGGTCCGGCTACAGCTTAGCGAGCAAGAGGTAGTGGCCCTTAGTCAAGAAGCTTCTCAATTAAATGTTCAATTCCAAGAAACTAAAGCTAAGTGGTCTGAAGTTCAAGATGATGTGCTTGCTGCTGCCGAGCGCGAGACTATCTCCATTTAGCAAGTGAATAACTTGGAGGCAGCCTTGAATTCCAAGGCTGAAGAGACTGCCTCATCCGGGGAGAGGCATGCCCAGATGAAGGATAGGTATAAGAAGATCATGGAACATAATAAGGTTCATCTAACCACTATCCGTGATCTCGATCTTAGCCTTAGCGCCATGAGATCCGAGCGGGATGGCCTTTTGACTGAGGTTGATTGGCTTAAATCAGAACTTCAGTGCCGAGGGGATTCCCTCATCATCAAAAAAACACATTATATGTATCATATGAGGAGGAAAACCTTGAAAGAGGCCAAGGCGGGTGTCATTGATATTGACGATGAGATCGCCAAGGCCCGAGTGTTGGAGTTAACTGCTCAAGAAAGCCTCCCGGCTCATCCTGATGCAACTGACTCTCTAGTTCCGGTTCTGAGTTCTTAGGAATTGAGGACTAACTTGAAGAGAATAATGATGAGGGCCAATATCCTGAGTCGGCTACAGATCTACCTACTTCTCTTGGGGGCACAGACGCTTCTCTTCCCCCGAGTTCTGGTGGCGATGTAGTTTAGCCTTTTTGCTTTCTTTTCCTTTGTTGTTTTCCCTTTACGTTTTGTACTTGTGCTGCTTGGCACATTTTGTTTGATCGTTGCGCAAAGTTTATTCTTTTTGTGTCAAATTAGGTAAGGCTCCAGGTGTATTTTTTTTCCCGATAGTATTTGTGTTCCGAACATAAAGTCTTCCGAAACCAACCCTTTGCTGGAGGGTTTCATAAAAGAGGGCCCTCATATATTTACAGTGCTCTTGAAAAGGACGTCTCTTGTTCGTTCCGACACTAGCATCATTTGAAGTACTTAGTTGACTTTCAAATGATAAAAGCAATTCATCGTTTGGACAAGAAACACGATAAAAATAAAAGGACTTATTTTATTTCATCTATCTTCAAAAGTACATAAGCATTCGTTTGTTGAAAGAAAAGAAATTGACACTACATATGGCTAATTTGTACAACTTATTTCTATGGGGCTGGCTGTGCAGTCCCTGGTCCCGATGAGACATTTTTCTTCCCGGATCTCGTAGACCCGGTTTGCAATCAAGTTACCATATTCTCATACTATTCCCCCCCCCCCCCCACCCACCCAGTGTTCGAATGCAAATAATGTGAATTAGAACATTGGAAGTTTTGCTCTTTTGAGGAAAAACACTAGTAAATGTGTCACAACCCAAAATCCACTAAGGGTCGTGGTGGCGCTGGATATCGCTGTCAGGCAAGCCAACCATAAATACTTAATTAAATTCTCATTTAAATAGTTGTGAAAACTCTCATTTTCCTTCACTTTTACAAGTAAAAGATACTCATTTCAAATTAAATATAAATGTCAAGAAGTCAATATAAAATACCCCATAATCATCCCAGAACCCGGTGTCACAAGTGCATGAGCAATTACTAAGGGAATCGAATAAAGTACAATCACTGTCCGGAATACAAATTAGACAGTAGTAAATACCATACGCTGAAAGAGACTACACTGGCTGCGGGTCGCCTCGAGAAATGCAGCTCGCCTAGTCTCCGTATCATCCATGGTGCTACTCCAAGTAGGCTGCTAGAAATACATGTACCTATGCAACAAAATGCACAGCAAGTGTAGCATGAGTACGAAAACAACGTGTACTCAGTAAGTATCCCGCCTAATCTCGAAGAAGTAGAGACGAGAGGTCGACTTCGACACTTACTAATGGTCCAATAATGATAAATCAATAATGTAACAAATTGAGGATTTATATAAGCATGATTGTAATTCAATAAAGTGAAGCAAGTAA